TTTCTGTTGTCTTATAACCGCGCAGTCTTTTGCTTTGGCAGGCCGAATGGACTGAGACACCTGGCCTGTGCATGGTTGGGAGGATGCCTTCTTCCCTTTTTAAGTGAGTGTCTTTCCCAGAGACCAAAATGGTGCTGCCCTAAACCCTAACACCTTGCTAAAATTTAATAATAATAAAAAAAGACCCTCAGAAGTATTCCCACAGCCTCCTTTGGCACAGGACTCAAACATGAGCTTTTGGGGAACTGGTCTCCCCAGTTGCCAAATTGCAAATCCAAATTTACAACAAAATGTGTGGTTCCCACCCCACCCCCCTGCCCACAAGTTTGCTTTAGTCACTTTAACCAGTAGTTACCTAAAAGGCCCATCCCACCAACCCATCAGATGGGTAGGTTTTTCAGGATTCTGGCGTGAGCTGGCCCTAACTGAAATCCGTACACTGTTCAAGATCCTGCGTACAAGCTCAGGTGCCCCTGTGGCTTTGCCTCTCAGGGAGGTTCATCCCCAAAGGTCAAGGCTTTGGCAGAACATAGTTTGCCTCAGTCACCTTTCCTTTAGAGGAAAAATTGTTTTATTTATTTTTATTTTTGTTTAAAGCAGAGCTGTATTTAAAAGGTTCATTCTAAAAAGGGATCAAGTCAGAGTCTGGTTTTGACTAGTGGGAGTTTTCCTTCAGCTACCCAACCTTTGGCTGTTCTTGAGCGCCGGCCCACACAGGGCCACCGGGCAGCCGCGCTCCTGCCTCCACAGCGCAGCGGCCATAAAGCCCCGAAGGAGAGTCCTAACAGAGAACCACAAACAAAAGCATCGAAAAGGAAAAAATGACTTTACTATGATGACATTCACCCTCCAGGGACCAGAATAGAATATTTGTAGACATAAGCTTATGTTTAGAGACACTTGATGGATTTTAAAGTTCTTTCCTTTCAGGAGGGTTCTCTTGCCAGGTTCTACTAATCGGTTGTTTCTAATATGGCAGAAAAACTCAGGACTGTTGTTTGAAAAAAAAAACCCCAGCCTCACCTCAATTCCACAGAACACAAGAAGAGATTGAAAAACTACCTTCCGTTTCTGGTGCATTTTTAAAGCCGTGGAACCTTCCAGAACACATTGTTTTACATTGGCTTATATTGTAAATAGTTTAATGAACATATTGAAAACATGGTTGCATTAATGAAATAATCATGTCGGAACTCATACCCTTTGATTTGAAGGTGGGATCACATTTTATCATATAAAGAAACATTTACACATAGAAATAACAATTGGTAGAATTACGAATGTATTTTGGTCTCTGTTAAAAAAAAAGTATGCACTAGTGGTTAAATGTTACAACATCTCTATTTTTAAGTACTTTGTACATGGCTACAACCCAGAGATCATTTTTTTTCCTATGGTGCTCTTTACTTATTTATTTTTGGAACATTTGGGCCAAATCTGTTCTATCTTTGACCTTCAGGTTCTTTCCTTTTCTTTCTAGAAAACAACTATGTATACCTTTCCCAGTATTAAACATACACACATACATACTCGCATGCATGATAAACAATTCCCAGACTTGCTTTTCTGACAGATAAGTCAGTGCTGGTAGATCTTTAAAATGTCAAGCTTCTCATTCAGCATGAGGCCTGCCACTGCCCATGTGTTTCTCAGACAACACTCCAGTTCTTACTGATTGGCACGCTTCCCATGTGTCAGAGTAGTGAAATGTGCAAGACACCTATTGCAACCTATTCTGTCTCTGCAGTTGTTACAGCTCCCCCTGCTCCCGCCCCCAGCTTCTTGGGAGAATTACTACTCTCCCAGGCTTCTGGCCTCCGAGGGAGGTTGAAGAGCTTTGAGTTAGCTTGCTTTCCCTCCATTTTTTGAAGACTAAAGTTCAGTAGTCTCCCACCCCTTATCCACAGGAAATACATGCTAAGACCCCCAGTGGATGCCAGAAGCTGCCGATAGTACCAAATTCTCCACCTATCGATACTATGTGTTTTCTTATACACACAGATCTTTCACTTAAAAGAAGCACTTTTCGGCTTTTCTCTGGTATATCCGAATCACCAGCCTCACTATTTTTACATGTTGACACCGTTATTAAGTAAAACAGGGATTACTTGGCCACAAGCACTTCGATACCATGAGAGTTGGTCTGAGTGACCTACAGCTGGGAAGTGTCTACAGTGTGGAGATGCTGGACAAGAGGGTGGTTCGTGTCCTGGGTGAGATGAAGCAGGACTCGTGAGATTCCATCACAAGACTCAGAACAGTATGCAACTTAAGACTTACCAATTGTTTATTTCTGGAATTTTCATTGAATACTTTCAGACCACGGTTGACTGAAACCACAGAGAGTGAAACTGTGGATAAGGGGGAACTGCTGTATCATCAACCCTGTCTTCAAGGTCTCTTGGAAGAGTACGCAGCTTGGTGCCACTTCTCAATCACCCACAGGCATGCACAAAGGGTTAGCCTAGGGGAAAATATATATGTATACATATTCTTATAGACCTAATAGCAGGAACTGCTTTTGGCACCTGACAGTCCTGCGTCCAAATTGCACCTCTTACTTGCTCTGCAAATCTGCTCACTGTTGTACCTCCGTGAACCTCAGTGCCCTAATTTGTAAGGTGGAAAATGACCCTGTTAAGAATACGGATTGTGTAAGTCAAGAACACGTGTGTTTCAGAAGGAAGGAACAAGCATATGCATCCAATTATGTGGCAAGAAGTAGAATTTTTCTTTCCCTACCTACCCTAGCTTATGTAAAAAGATAAGGAACTTGCAAAAAATATCACCGAATAAGGGAGTAACAAAGGGACACCTGGTGATGCGCTGCTCCGCACAAACTGAAGCACTTTAATGCACAGCTGCATCCGCCCAGAGAGTCAGTAGTGGACCAAAGGCACATCAAGGACTATGCTGTTCCTTCCTGCCTCTTTAGGGACTCCATTTCTAATGCTTGCATGCAGTAAACGGATTCCTCAAGTTCAGCATGCTAAGGTCAGGAAATGATGGATTTGAGTTTATTCCTGAGCCTCTATGTCCTACACAGCTTTGCACACCCCACGTGAACGCTGCATGTGAATTACTCATTCAAACTTACTACAGGGAATATCACATTTATTAATACTAGTAACTTGACCAGAGAAGCAGGCTCTATGTTCCACACAAATGGACTTTTGAATTGAGGAAAAAAGTCTCCTACAATCTCCTGTTAAGTCCTTGTCTGGGAAAAAAACTATCCAGTTAGGAAATTACCCAGACCTGGTGATTTGCCAGGTAATGTTATAGCTCATTAATTTTTACTGTTTTTATAGGGACAAGACAAGCAAAGACAAAGACATAAAATTCAAATCTGTCTACCAAGTGGATTTTGATGTGAGGGAGAGGGAGAGGTCCAGCTTTTTAGGGAACTCGGAGAGTTTCTGCAGATAGATTCCCAAATCTGTGCCGCCAGACTGACCACGGCTCTGAACTGCATTTTCTGCTTCCAGCCGCTCCCTGGCTCAGATTCAACAAACCCAGCATCTAACTCACCATTTACCTCCCATCCTGTGCTCTTTGCCCAGTTGTTACTATTTGTTATTCTTTTCTCCTAAGTAGATACCTTCAGACTCACCCTGGACTCTCACTTTCATTCTGCCAGCAGTCTCCGGACCCCTTCCCTTCTCATGAACACTGTGGCCTTCCCTTCCCTTCCTTCTGTTAACCTCGTGCAGGTCCTCATTGCCCATTGCATTCAGGCAACAGCTTCTTCGCTTTCTCTCTCTTCTAACAACTGTTCCCCTCTCATCTCCTTCACCCCCTGCCCCTCCCCCTACCCCCCCCCCCCCACACACACACACATCCTGGCCACTAAACTTTTTGAATCCCTGTGGGCATGTCGTGCCTCTGCTCTGGACCTGCCTCCCTTAGCCTCAGTAACTGTTCTTGTTACACAGATCCTCTGTCTCAGGAGGTCCATCCCTGTCTCCTACCACTCCCATATGCACTCTTTTATGCCATCCCCTTGCACAACCATTTCATTCCCTGGCCTTTGTGTCTTTAACACTTACCCTCAACTTCTCCATACACAATGCCCCAACCCAAGCCTGCTACTTAAATTCCTGCCCAAGTTTACATCTGCCACCAAATCTCCTTAAACTACTTACCTCTCCTGTCCAAAGCTTCCCCCATACCCACCAGTTAAATTGCTCTGTTTCAGGGTAACCCTATTTCCCTGGAGGACCACAGGTTATGTAAGGGCATTGATGCTATGTTTCTCATCGCCCTTCCCCACCTACTCCTTCATTCTGCCCCCAAGCAGATGGCACAGAAAGAGAGCCATAATAGAACTCCTGTAGATTCCAGCCTACACCTTGTGCCCTTGCTGAGTGTAAACTGTAAATTCCAACATTCCTAACTTTGCTGATCTTCATCACAATTACACAGGGTCGTGAAGATTTAATACAGGACATTTAACATGCACCGCGTGCCTTTGAAAAAGTCCCAAATAAAACCTCAAGACTTTCTTTGTTTCTTAGTTTCCTCTGCAGCAAGCTGGGGTGGAGTTGGAGGAGAGGGTTATTCGATTTAGATTTTCTCAGTCACAGACGGAAAAAAATGCATCCACCCAGAGGGTCTTCAGACTGCAGAGGTTATGTAAAGAGGACGCTCTCTCCCGCCTCATGGAGGGGTACGTTTTCACTTTCTTCCCTTTGGAACAAACTGGAGCAAACTCTCGCCCCGCACGGGTTGGGGGTGGGGGGCATGCCTTCCAAAAGCGATGGCTTAAATTGACATGTACGAAACTCAGATCGTCCTTGAGATGCAACTGTAATAGAAAACCAGGAGCCCTGGCGCCCGCCGCCAGCAGGGGCTGGGGTGGCCCCGGAGTCGCCGGCTCCCGCCTGGAGCCGGTGGACCTGCCGCTAGGAGGCGCCCCGAGAGCGCCCGGCCCCCCTCCCGCTGCCAGAGGAGGGCTGGGATCCACTCGGCCAGCCCCCGAGCTGGCCGGGGAGCGCGCTGAGAGCTGGCGGGGAGCAGATCACAGGAGACGCGCGGCAGAGCGCCCGGGGCTGTCACCGCTGACGCGCTGCGCGCGCAGAGCCGGGATGGGGCATCTGGGGACCGCCAGCTACCACCCCCGCAGTTTTCCACCTGGGGTCCCCCTCCCAAGTGAGCAGCCGCCGGGGCGGACGGCGATGTCTGCCGGGGCCCGCCGCAGTCCCCGGGGCTGCCGGGCGCAGCCGCTCGCGCCCCTCTGCTGCTTCTCGGCTGCGCTGGGGATGCTGTGGTCCCCTGCCTCGCAGGCGTTCAACTTGGACGTGGACAAGCTCACGGTGTACAGCGGCCCAGAGGGCAGCTACTTCGGCTACGCGGTGGACTTCCACATACCTGCGGCTCGCACGTAAGTCGCCCGGCGCTGGGAGTTCGCGTGTGGGGGCGAACCCGGCCACAGGTTGTGTCAGCGCCTCTCTGCCCCGGGCCAGCGCCCGTCCCGCAGCCCGCGAAGGCGATTCCGGGGATTCCCCCTCGCTCTCCACTTAAGGTCGCATCCCGCTCCCCGCCACCAGCCTCTTCTCGCCCCTGACAGGCTAAATGTGCCTTGTGCCCTTTAAACTAGTGACCTGCCACTTGCTCAGAATCCGTCAGTGTTCGGGACTTCCCGGTATAAGGACCCCAGCATTGCACAAAGGAGAAAGCCGGACCCAGCCGACTCAGGCCAATTAAGACAACGACCACGACACGGTCTGTTTACATATAGCCTGGAACAATTAAGTGTCTGGGCGCAAGTGCTGTCTGCCCGCTGCCAGCAGCTGGGCTCCGTCCTCTGCTCCCCCCACCGCCCACCCCTCTCCTCTCCTCTCCTCTCCTCTCCTCTCACTGTATGCACAGCTCCACCTAGAGAAGAATTAGGACTATTTGCACCCTCTTCCAAACCAGGTTTCAGACGCCCGCAGGTTTCCAAGAGGAAATAAGGTTTGACAGTCGGCTCCCTCATACGTCCGTTTCTGCCCGCGACCCCCACACTAGTCCCAGTGGCGCGCGGCCGGAGACTGCATCTCCCGTGCGCGTTGTGGATCCTCAGCGAGTGGTTTTCTCCAACCCCTTCGCAGAGCGAGTGTCTTGGTGGGAGCGCCCAAAGCCAACACCACCCAGCCAGACATCGTGGAAGGGGGAGCCGTCTATTACTGTCCTTGGCCCGCCGAGGGGTCTGCGCAGTGCAAGCAGATACCGTTTGACAGCACCAGTAAGTGATATTTGTCGTTCCGAACTGAGGGCCCGGGTTTCAAAGAACCAGAGCCACCCTAGAGTCACCCCTGCTTTCTTTGTCCTCATGTGGCCGGCCGGATGGGTCTGTGTCGTGGTCTGCGCAGGTCCCTAGAGAAACCAGCTTTTTAAAAGAAGCCTGAGTGGGAGGAACATGGTGAGTGGACTCCAGAGAGGGAACAATATTTTGACCTGGAGTGTTTGCATACATCCTAGTGATTTCTGTTGCCTCGCCATCCCGAGATGAGCATTTCCAGGGTGAGTGCATGCTTCAGAGAAGGGCAAACGTCGTACCCTAACCCTGACCATGGAGAGAATCTGGTTGCTTCCCAAAGACAGGCCTGGGAGAAGGCAGACCCTTACTTAGCATTGCCAGTGCCCAGACTCCGGAGGCAAGACCCAGACTTCGCTCCCTGTTGTTGTTTAATTCTTTACAGAAAGAAGGAATTTTCTTTCAAAATATTGGACATTGGAGGCAAACTAGTACAGGCAGAGTGTGGATGGATTACATTCATTTCCAAAATCCCTAGACACATGTTTCTTATTTAATTAAAGGGAAAATGCATTTTAAACAATTCAGGCTGGTTATGTTTCCTCTGGTGTTTTCTCTTTGGGTCCTGAGAAAACAATTTAAATGTAATGCTTTCAAAAAACATTAACACTGAATGTTTTAATTTGTACCTCCACAACTTTATGAATTTAAAGGTATATGTTATAGGAAAGCAAATACCTCTTTTCTGAAAAATGTGATTGTGTCAGCTCAAATAATGTTCTTCGATGAACAATCATTTAAATTTGCACCACACAATTATTTTATGACATCATGCTTCATTATTGTTATATTAGTGTACAGTTAGAATTTATGTAGGAAACCCATTTCTGTAGAATTTTGATGAAATTGGATAAGTGGTATTTACCTGTTACTTTAACTAATTTGCATTTTTTATTTTAAAGGAGAAAATAATTGCAATTCTATGACTATGAAAATAATTTCAAATGAAAGAAATACTATACAAGCATTACCTTGAGTTATGACCAAATTAGGAAAATATGTTATATTTGCAATGAAATAGTAGGAGACAAACTAGTGCCATCATGGCCATTAAATAAATAGGAAAATAATGAGAGTGTCAAGAAGAGATCAGTGTTACCTGGGGAAGGAGCAGGGGTAGATGGCATCTTCTGTCCAGGTTCTGAAAAAGACCTCCTGATTTCTGAAAGTATTTTAAATATGTCTTATTTTACTTCTAAATGTACAGGGTTTTTTCTTGATAGACAGATGTGCTAGTTCTACTATGATTCTTAGCAACCATAACCGCAGTTATTTGAGGATTCATAAATAGAAAACAAGGGAAAGCAACAGGAAGGGAGGTAGATGTTTCTGAAATAACTGAGCAAAAAGTGAAAAAGAAAAAAGCCAGGCAAAGGAGGCCACAGAACATTTGTAAAAAATGAATGGTACATGACAGAATGAACAAGCCCCGTGGGAGCTTCACTAAGAGAGAATATAATCATTGAGAAAAGAAAGTTCCCCAGTTAGCCATCAGGGGGTACTGTGGGCCCAGGAACCTTAGTTGCTGTTGGGAACAGCCTGAGAACAGCAAGGGTGGGGGAGAAGGAGCCACAGGACCTCGGCTCAGGTGCTTGTTACTGAGTGGCTGCCAGTACTCTACACATCTTGCCTGCCACTTTACCCATGAACCCCCAAGATGGTGTAGGTTCTGTGCCAGTAGCTGCCACTTGCTGCGAAGCTGTGAAAAAGAGGAAGGGAAAGCAGGAGCCAGGAGAGCTATTTCCAGTTTCAGCATCTGTTCTCGGGGTAGAGTATAATCTTGGAACCAAAGATAAAAGGCAGAATCAAAGGCATTGATGACCATGGGTCTTGCAGTCAGTGTTACCAGATGCATTGCATTTATCGATCACCTACTAGGTACCAGCCATTTTTACACACTATTTCTGATCCATAAAACTAAACAACCAGGTGAAATTCATTTCATACATAAGGAAACTGACATCAAAGGTGTTTAAAAAATGGTACAAAGTAGATGCAGGGTTGGGAAAGAGGTCTGTCTGTTCCCAAACCGGCCCATTCACCCTGTCTTCCTTCCTCATGAAGCTGAACCTGAGGCACTGCTCACCTTCCAGGCCCCTCCTCTATTCCCTTACCCCAATGTTAGCTTCACAAATATTAATTTGAATGATCCTATAGAGAAGCTCTGGAGGGAAAAGCCCTTGGGTGGAGGCTTGTGGAAACCAGAGATTGTAGAAGCAGCCTTTGTCTTGGTGGGAATAATAGGTTGCATATGCCCTCTGGCTTGCGAGCTCCCGCCAGCCTGCCCCTCGGTGTCCTCCTCTGCAGCAATGTAGTCTGCCCATGAGGAGGAAGGAAAGCTCTCCGCTTGACAAAGTAGTAGCTCCGACTGCTGGACACCCGCAAACTGACATTCATGTAATGGTATGATGTTTCAGAAATATATAAAAAATATATTCCTGAATTATATATATAGTTGCAAATATTCCTCTGTAAAGATAGTCATGACTCCCCCTGTCTTGACCTTGTCTGTTTTGACTATTACATCCGAATTCAAGACATTCTAAGTAAATTTGACCTTTTTTAATGACGTTGTTGCAACTTGTTCAGGTCCCTGGGGTATCTACTATGGTAACCTACTGAATTCCCTCAGCCTACACACTGAAGGAGACTGGCCTATAATTTAGTTCCTGAATCTGGTTGTGATATTGAACCTCAGTTTATTTTTAAGGTCAACTGCCTTTTTTTTAACTGCCTTTTAGTTTAAATTTTTTCATTGAATTATCATTTTTACATTATCATATAACTTGGATTTTTATTACTTCTCATCATAAGTGCAACAAGAGAGGAAGCTGGGAATGAATAGCCTAGCACTTCAAATGCATGAATACTATTAAAATCTGTGGTCCTTTCAAGTATAGTGAAAGGAAACTTTAGGGAAGCATATGGTGGTGGGGGAGGTGCAAAGTGCAAAGAGTAGATAATTTTCCTGCTCTGTACAAAATCAAGTGGTTCCAAAAAAACACTTCTCTCATCTCCCCTCTGTCTTTCCCTCTTACTTCACTAGAAGAAAATCCCCCCGCCCTCCCCATCACTCCCCCCCATCAGCAACTTGATTTCTTTCACTTTTGCCTCAGGAACTCTCTAAACTATGCCCCATCCTAGCTTAAATCATCACATCTGCCAAATTCATTTCTTCTTTTTCTTACATTTTCCAAACCCATGTGTGGATTAGACAAAAACTGCTAGATGACAGCCCTCCAGTTAAAAGGGGATGTGAATGAAACAGAATGAAATAGACACCTATCTGTGGAATGGGGGAAGGGCAAATCACAACAATTGTAACTAAAGCATAGTGCACACATATTTGGTGGTTTTAAAATGCTCAAATGAGACATTCAGAAGAGTAAGATGAGGCATGTGCTCATTAATGATAATAATCATCAGAGCACTAATGATGGAGAGAAAATAAGCTGGGAACCACCTGCAATTGGGGACCCAGATAAGGAGTGAACAGGAAGAGGTGGGAAGCACCGCTGAGATTGGGAAGTCATTTGAGAATGACAAGTAGGATTTGGCTGGCCTTAATTTAGTATCTTTGTGTAAAACAAATAAACAACCCCTCCACAGCCCACCTCCCCTGCGGATTTAAAAAAAAATATAGCCCCTTAAAATGGAGACAATTTGTTTAAGATACTCAAAACTCTGGAATGGTAAAATTTTTGTTGGAATTGTGTTTTGGCTTGGAGACCAGAAGCCTTTGTTTTGGAGTGGGGGGTCTGTTTTATTTTGTGTTGAGTGAGCCCACAGTACGAAGCACCGTGGAGCATCTGGTGCTGTGACTGGCACGGGATTGCTTTTTGATAGTCGTGGGTGTGCCCTTTTTCTCATGTGAGGGTTGGGAAACATATTGGGCACATAAGTCTTGCTTTTCCAACTTCCTCAGAAAGAAATCAGTTTTTGTTCAGGAACAAAGAAAAGAAAAATGTAGGTCAGAGCTACCCAAGTAAATGACAGAGGAAATAACACCAATGTGACAGAACTCAGCAAGAACTGAAATCTGGGCTCTGGAAAGTTCAAATGAAAATGAAAAAAAAAAAAGGGTGGGGGGAGGGGAGAAGGCAGCCCAGAGATAACCTGCTCCTTTTAAGAATGAATAAACCCATCTATTAGGGCAGAAGCTTTCACTGCTAAGTACTGATCTCACTGAGTCATCAAGATGGTTTAGCAGGATGGTTTACTCATTTTTGAAGGGGTTCGCGATGGCGACTGTGCCAATAAGTTGGCCTAGCAGAGGCAGCCAAATTTCCAGAATGTCTCCCAGTCCGCTCGGAACTCTATGTGACAGAATGCAATCGAGTCCTGATATGAGAAAGGAGGAGGCAGTGGTCCCTACATCACATAGCAACCGAGGAAGCAATTAGAAAAAGGAAGTCCTTGAAACTCCAACCAGAAATGGGAAACAGATCTGCTCTACGGCTTGTTGAGTGTATGAGCGTTAGGCGCCTGTTGTTTAATCAGCAAAATTCTTTCAAGAAGCTGGGAGTCTGTGTGATGGAGTAGGCTTTTGGGCGTTTGGCAGGGATGGTCGGTGTGGCAGTGGCTGCGGCTTTCTGGGAGAAATGTAGGAAACTCTTGAAATTATTCTGGAAGCAGAAAAATGCACTTTGACATTTAAACTGGCCTGTTGAGATGTGAGCATTCAAACTTTACCTGTCACGTGGAGGAGTCTTGTATCTGCGACTGTAGTGAGGAGAGTTTGCCAATATTGCTAAAAGCTTGTCTGTGCCCTGACTGACACCATCCAGATACACAAATGTGGATTTTCAAGGAAGGGAGTTAAAAGACTAATTATTGATCATATTAAAAGCGTTCACTTAAAAATTTAATTTGCCAAATTCAGCTTAAGTATGTCTTCACAAAATCATATTTAGTGTATCAAGAAAGGT